TGTTAGTGATCAGCCCAGGGGATGGGTCTAGATCAGTTAGCATAAATGACAAATCAAATACCATCAGTTATTAAAAAGATTAACTTATTATAGAGTAAAGTGAGTCATGTGCTAAAATCTACATGATTTGTTGCCTCCATAATTTAAGATAGTGACTCTGCTATAACAGGAGAGTCACTTTACCCCTTATTATACGTTATGAATTAATGAATCTAATTTTAATAAAATGGAAAGGGGTGGGAGTGGGACAATGGTAGCACCAAGTAACATTGTACTTTTTTATCAAAGGAAGAGGCAACAAGTCACAAGTGCAATAACGCCTCTCTTTATGCCTGTCATGCACGTGTCATTCCAATCCGGCCTTAGACTCAATAATATGTTTTTGAGTGACCCAAAACAGTAACGTGGTGTCATTCCAACCTTTTTGGAGGCTTATGTGAAAGGATCAAACAATTGGGCATTAGAGCCATATGTAGCTATATGATTGTAGGTTTAAGTGGTCGAGATGGTCATGTTGTGACGAGGTACTAGGTGTGTCGATTTGTAGCTTGCCTAGATGTATCTTTGTGGCGACTATGCATGTAATTGTAAACAATGCTTATATTAAGAACTGCTTCGACTTAAAATTTTAAGATATTAGGTAATAGTTTTTTTGATATTGTATATTATTCTCTAACACACCTCCTCGCGCAAGAGTTCTTTAGGCTTAAAGCATAGATATGACACAAGCTCATTTTTTGGTTTGTGTTTTTCTTAATTCTACCTGAAAGTGAGGGGCGGTGGAATCGAACTTGTGACTTCGTGCTCTGATATCATGTTAAGAACCAATTAAATCAAAAATCTTAAGGCATTAGATGATGGTCTTTTTACTGCTTTTACATTATTCTCTAACATATCCCCTCACACAAAAATCTTTGGGCTTGAAGCATTAGGTGATGGTCTTTTTAATACGGTATATTATTCTCTAACAGTTATTGCTTGAGATAGTGTGTGATGCTTAGCATACATTATCTGTCCAAGGTGTTTCAAATAGTGTGGTAATTCCATGTACGCTTACCGTATCAGTGTGATGCAATAATTTAGTTTGCCGAGCATGGGCAATTGGTTGAGTTGGCTTGGTGGTTTTGGAGGTTGCTTCGTGAGAAAGACATAATCGTTTGGACTTGGACCATGTGTTGATTTGGCCTTGGCATGACCTGTTATACCGGTCTAAAACAATGTGAAATCGAGAGATTGAAACTTGAAGTAAATCAAATTATTTTTTGCTTGACAAGTAGATTTTTTTTGGTAATTCAGTATGAGGCAAAATACACTGTTCTCCAAAATTCTGATGAAGAAGATGTCTAAAGCATATGACCAATGCCTTTGAGCAACATCAAATGACAATATTGGAATTGTATACTGACATCAACGGCTGTTTGACCCATCTAGAAAAGGATATGGACCAATCAGATTGCACCACATTGAAAAAATTCTCCCTTTTGTTCATTATAAAATATATTTTTTTTGTATGCAAAAAAATTATTTTTTCACACTTATTCAGTTCAAATATTAAATGACTAAATTTATTAATAATAATAATAATAATAATAATAATAACAACTAATTCTGAATCAAAACAAATTATTAATTCTTACTAATTTTTAGATCCATTGTGCGGTCTGACTTGTGTAAATCCATTAATTGATTATAATGTTGTGATACTGATTCATATATGTTTTTATCAATTAATTGACAAAAAAATCCTTTAAAATTTTAATAGTATTTCATCAATTATAATCAATTAATGAATTTACATAATGAATTTGCACAACTTAGGCTGAATAAAGAATCTGGAAATTGAATACCAAAAAAAAAAAAAAATCTGGAAATTAGTAAGAATACATAGTTATTATTGATTGAGAATTATTATTATAGAAATTAATAATAGTCATAATATGTTGATTATTTAGTATTTGAATTGAGTGTACAGAAATGAGAAGTTTATAGTAGAAGGGAGGGAGAATATGTTTTTTTCTTTTTCTTTTTTATATAAATGTATTGACCAACTAGATTGTACTGTGTGACACAACCAGAGGGGTTGAAGCAATGTTATCAGACCCAACCTGTTCATTGAGCCGACCGGAGTATTGGATCATTGGGTGGATCATCGGTTGAACTTCATAACTTAGGTTAGTACATAAAAACATATATTTTATTCATAAAAATGCTCAAATACATGTAAAAAATTGTTATGCAGGGCTGCAACACAAATTTTTTTTGTAGTAATAAAAAAGTCATATATAATAACCACATATAGTATATTGTAAAATAAATAAACAAAGAAAAAAAATTCAAGTATCTGGCAATTCTACATATAATTCCTCTACCAAATATTCCCAACTAACCATGTTTAATAATTATAAGACATTTACCAATAACTCTTCTCATAAAAATGGATTTGCAAGGAATGAATATGTCACATTATCTTAATTTACTGTTTTGCAAATTGCTTCATCTTTGAAGCTAAAATTTGAGATCACTGTATGAGAGTATATTAATAGCAAACAAAATTACAAAATATTTTGAAAGAAGTTTCACACTTTTTAAGACAAGACGAGACAACTTTGATTTATATATATGAGGCATGATCCTTTGACACTTCATATGAGAGCTGTTAGATCAAAAAAGATCAATGGTGTCACATGCTTATAAATCAGAGTCGTTGATCTTTTTTGATCTAATGGCTCTTATATGAAGTGTTAAATTTCAAATTTGCCACTGGTGTCAAAAATGTCAAAAAATCATATATATATATATATATATATAAATGCATGACCCGTCAGTTTTGATGACCCAACTGAGTCACCAGTTTTGATAAAAGTCGGCTGGTTCAAACCGATTTTCACCGGGTCTGATACATAGTCGTTCCGATACTTAACTCGAATCCATCAAAATGATCTGTTCACTGAATTTCGGGTCGACTTGAGTTTGATAACACTGGGATGAAGCACTCACTAGATTGTGTCACATGGAGCAATTTTGTTGGTCTATACCGCTTTTTATTTAAGTTCAATGAAAAAATTAAAATAAAATAAAAAGTAGAGTCACTAGGGGTCACAATACGGACCACCTCCTACTAGGAATATGATTCCCATGGTCCTATATCACAAAATTCAAATTGGTTTGGCCCTAGATGGCCAAAACACACAATTTAAGTACCAAACTCTCGTGTTGTAATGAAGAGATGTGTTTCATTTGTAGCGGTACCAATGCACCATAACATTGATATTTGGGAAGACATTGACATAGCGTAAAATAATGACGATAATTGAAATATAGGAAAAATAAATCAATCTTAAACTTCTACACTTCATCTTTTTTTTTATATATATATACAACGTAATATTACTCAAATCATTCACTAGACTTAGGGGTGTCAATATGGGTTTTGACACGCGGGTCGACCCGCGACACGACACGAAAATTCGTGTTCGGGTTGACCCGTAAAAAAATTCGTGTCGTGTTCGTGTTGGAAAAAATGACACGCAAAAAATTCGTGTCGTGTTCGTGTTTATGAATTCGTGTTCGTGTCGACCCGTATTATTTTTAATTATTATTTTTTTATTTTTTTATTATTATTTTTTAATTTTTTATTTATTTTCGATCTATTTTTTAAATTTTTTTTGTTAATTACCGTTTTGTCCCCTATTTTGCGTGTTATTCGTGTCGTGTCGTGTCAACCCGCAAAAAATTCGTGTCGTGTCAGTGTTGAAGATTTTGACACGAATGAAATTTGTGTCGTGTTCGTGTTGATGTGTTCGTGTCGTGTCGAATTCGTGTCGTGTCAAATTCGTGTCGTGTCAATCCATATTGACACCCATAACTAGACTAATATAACAAATGCATTTAATTTTAAAATTACATTATTAAGATAATTACTCTATATTGGATTTGATTTGAATGTATCGCAACACAAATAATTTTGACGTTTTTCTGGTTGTCCAGCCAGAGAAGCTGATGCTGTGTAGTGTAGCCCTAGCATAAAACACACAAATTCTTTTACTATTCGTAAAAAATGGGAAGGTTATACTTACCATCAGGTAAGTTTATTATATTTATAACCAATCTAATTACCGTTCGATTAGAAGTAAATTTAACGTCTCATAATTATCTTTATAATTTTAATTTTTTCTCTTACATTCCCTCTCTGTCTCTCTCTAGATTTCCTCTTCTCTCTATCTCTCTAGATTTGAGAATCACCACTCTCTATACAATTCATTATTCATCCCAAACCGAAGTATATACACTGATTGATAATTCTCTCTACAATACTACTCATTATTCATAATACAATATATTTTGTAAGTTGATTGATAATTCTCCTTAGCAGCCATGAGCTTCTTCAAAGGAAAATTGTTGTTAGGGTTGTTGGTATGAGGTTCACGGCAACGAATAATGAATTGTATCATGACATTAATAATTATTAATAATTCATAATATCCTTCCATCGGTATCATAAACGGATTCATGAAATATGTTAACAAATGAGAACAAATCTTGAATTTCAATAGAGTGCCACAGAGAGACAGTAGTCTGTAAGGATGAAAACCTTGAGAGAGACAGAGAGGGAATGTGAGAGAAAAAATTAAAATTATAAGGGATAATTATAATATGCTAGATTTACTTCTAATCCAATGGTGATTAAATTAGTTATAAAGCCCTTTTAACAAGGGAAGAATATACTTACCAGTTACTACCAAAAAAGTTTATAACTTTTACAACCAATCTAATCACTGTTGATTTTCGTCAATCTAACGATTATAATTTAAGGGTATTAATAATTAATTAATAAATGCGATCTAATAATTTCTAATAAATTATAACCGTTAGATTGACGAAAAGTAATAGTGATTAAATTAGTTGTAAATGTCATAAACTTTTTTGAAGATAAATCCTTTATAACAAAGGAAACATTAGTTAGTGTCATAGCAGTAATACACTGGAAACTCAGGGACAAATATGTAAAACAGATCACCAGAAAAAATATAAGGGCCCGTTTTTTCTCTCACACATTATTCATTTCCCCTCTCTCCCTCTATCTCTCCCCACTCTCAACCCTATAATCCCTCTCTCTCTCTTCAATCCACAATTTCTCTTTTCTCTCTTTTTCTCCGAACAATATCATCTTTCTCTCTCCGCCGTATGCGGCGGTGACGGTATATGTCTTGCTTCTCATACAGATTTTCCGCCCCTTCTCCCACCCTACGCCGCTTCCTCGATCCCTCTCTTCCTCTTCCCCTACCGTAACCATATCTTTTTTCTCTCATTTTTTTATAATTATTATTATTACTATTATTAATTTTTTTTGTTGCCGTTGTCGCTTTCATTATCTTCTGAAGTTATTATTTATTTAGTTATTTTTATTTACATGTTCGAACTCGTTTGTTGTGGACCCGATTTTCCATTCCTTGGTGTGACAACAAACGAATATAGAAGAATTCATCATTTTACGTTTTTGTCCCTCCTAACTTAAAAGTAGCGTCAACCCTTCGTCCTTACGTGGTGTCATCTGAGGCAATGATGATGAATCATCATCCCCGTAGGATATTGCCACTTGGCAGCACCAAAAAGCGCAAGCACGCTGAAGCTGACAAGCCAGCTACGCCGAAACCCGATGAGCCGATACCCCACAATCGGCTTCTAGCCGGCTATCTTGCTCACGAGTTCTTGACAAAAGGCACTCTGTTGGGACAAAAGTTTGAGCGTGACTCAGCCCGAGCCAGATCTGACATCCTTGCTGGCTCCATCTCAGCCGAGCAATGTAAGAGCCAGTCGTACTCTGAAGCCGAAGCTTCAGCCGTGGAGCCTACCCGACCAAGCGTGAGAAAGGACCACGAGAGTTACGGTGAGGTAGCAAGCATTATGAAGACAAATGGGACCCACTTAAAGGGTATTGTGAACCCCACACAGCTCTCTCGGTGGATTCAAATGTAGAGTTTCTGGAGTGGTGATGACGTGGCGAGTTTTCATTGGACATCAGCACAGAGATGTTTGTGCCTGTAAGCGTATGAATCGTATTGTGCAAACTTTGGCACAGGTTAGTTTGTAGTCGATGGGTTGCAATGTTCGCAAAGCATAATGTTTCTTTCTTTTTCCTTTTTCTTTTTTGGTATATACAGAGTATAATATTTCTACTTTGAAAGAATGTGTAGATCGTCAACACCTATCACTTTTGCAGATTCTTCCGTTTTATTCATGTGATCATAGGGTGGTTGTGTTGAATTGTTATATAGACTAAGATTATCTAAAGTGTCTAGGGCACCTAGTATTAATAATCATTGATTAAAAAAAATTAACGGTTTAGATTTTGATAAAATGCAAATGCTCAAATACTTGAATTTTTGTTCTAGATCAACCTCACATTTAAATGATGATTTCTCTGGCTTTCTAAAATGAGACTTTTAAATCTTAATAGTAGAGTATCTCTCACACTCTGAATAGTTCACCTCTTGCATATTTAAGGTGAGCTACATCAAGCACAGCATCGAGAATACTATGCAAAACGGTTTTGGCTCTCTCATGATTAAGAAATATTTTCTCATCTATATATACCCACTTCACTTATTATAGGTGCATCTTGCATACATTGCATATCAAAATATAAAGCCACTGTGCCCATAAGCATCATTCCCTCTTTCTCAGCCCTTTCAGCGATGTATACGGTGACTCTGTATTGGTCCATACTATTACTTTAAAGAGTACCATTATAATTATATACTTCACCCTCTCAAAATATACAGACATAAGCTCATCACATTAATCACTCATTTTTTGTAGCTTATGATCAGATAATATTTATTATTCTTTTTAGCGATAAGAAACTGGTATATCTAATTCAAGAAAGTCAACGATGATCCAAAAGAAAAAGATTTTTTTTTCATGTGTACATACATGTATATATATATGTGTGTGTTTAGATGGCGCATCGCAAAATTGAGAAATAAATTAACAACTTTTAAGTAAAAATTTGAAAAATTCAAATATATCTTGAACCTATTTTTTTAAGTTATGTATATAAACTCAATCACATTTCAAGTAAATGTGGGGTTTATTAAAATAAGTTTATTATAAAGTTTTATCGGGGAAATATTTCAGTTGAATCAGCGATCCAATTACTGTCTCATATCGATCACCATTCGAGTTTAACAACATTGTCCTGAATAGTCAATTCCATAATATAATCAGAAAATAAATATAGTGCATGTTGAGTAGCGGCTAGGGAGTCCAAAATCTCCCCCCTCAAGTGCAAGGTTTATAAACCCAAACATTAACCATTATTTCCAAATACTAAATACTATGGAGCCAAAATTAAGAGAAACTAAGTAGGGACAAAAAATCCTTTGAAAGTAGTGTCAAACTAAAAGTTTGAGACCCATGTGACCATTAATTTTCGTCAATCTCATAACAATAATTTATTGAGAGTTAGTAATTCATTAATATATATAATCCAATAAATCACAGTAGCCACATTAGCAAAAATCAATGATTTAGATGAGATATTAAACTTTTTAATTTGACACCGTTCCAGGTTAACACAGCGAGATTGTACTTGCTCGTACGAGTACAGTACCCGGAACCCGTAAATACTTTACCCGGATAGGCGGTTGGTCAGGTCAGTAACTGCTACGCGTAGTGGAGTTAGCAGTCGGTTGAGTTAGCCAGCATTCCCGGTAACAGAGTCATAAGTGGGCCTACCATGAGCCTACCACGATGTCATGATGGTATCCACCACTCCCATGACACAGGTAACCGTTCTAAAGCTACACCTATATATACACCAAAGATTAAGATAACAGACAGACAACTACGAGAGAGATCCATATTAATGTTCGTCCAGAACATTTGGCGCCGTCTGTGGGAATAGGTAAAACTAATCCTACGCATTTTCTTGAGTCATGGCAAGCAACAACCATGATGAGCAAGTAGAGGAGAATGAAGAAAACCGAAGGGAAGAGGATTCTTTCCGATCCAGCGGAGGGAGCCAATCATTAGACACCATTGGAGAAGCTTTAATGCAATTAATGGAGGAGAAAAGGAACCGGCAACATCCAGAAGGAAGAGGAAGAAGGCAATACTCAGAAGAGAGATTATTGGAAAGGAACGTGCCACATGATTGGGAGAGGTGGAGAGGTTCTGTATCTCCCTTTCCTGATTATATTCCATTATCACCTCCACCCGAGACTGGGAATAGGAGGACAGAAGCTCGAAGAGGGCAAGGATCTCAGATATCCAGAAGTCTCTTAGAGAGGAGAAATCATCAGGGGGAAGGACGTGGAGTTAATCGGAGGGTAGAAGAAGAAGTTTATGAGGCGAATGTCAGAGACGCAAGAAGAGGACGTAGGCGTCAAGACGAAGATGATGAGCAACCTCATGCGGATGCTTGGGAAGACGAGCAACGACAGGAAGGTTATCAGTATTACGCTCGACATATGGGGCATGGGCGAAGTCAGAGACGTTATGAAGAAACTGATGAGAGGAGGAGGATAGATGGGGGAAGACAGTATATTTATTACAGAGATGATTTTCCACAAGATGAGGAGGAGTACTATTATGCACCATGAACCCGGGTTCAGAGAGGAGAGTGGCAATCAGTAGAAAATTATAATCCCCATGGCTATGAAGGACAGATGATGAGACAGGAAGGACCAAGCTGGAACGAGCAGGCGAGAAGATTAACACAACAGATGCCGCAGGAGATTCGAGAGCCGCCTGGTGGTCAGGGTCCTTCAGGAACCCCTTTATCTTGGAGATTGAGGGCAGAGCCTATTCCGAGTTGGTTCAAACAACCAACTGATATGAAAGCTTATGATGGAAGCTCAGATCCAAAGGATTTTGTAACCGTTTTTCGGGCAGCAATGTCATTATGCGGGGAATCAGATTCTTTGTTATGTCGGACATTTCCAGTTTTCTTAAGGAAGCAGGCGTTAGAATGATATACGGGTCTGCCAGTCAATTCCATTAACAGTTGGGCTGATTTATCTCTTCGTTTCATACAGCAGTTTGCTCATTGTGGACCCCAACCAAAAACCACACACAATTTATGTGGAGTGAGACAGAAGCCAGGAAAAAAGGTTAGAGAATATTATGAACGGTTTCAAGTAGAAGCTAGACAAGTGAAGGGTTGGAGAATCAGACGTATTTGTTGTTATTTACCACCGGGTTACAACCGGGCGGGTTGGCGGATTCTTTGGCCAAAAAAGGACCGACTACAAAGGAAGAGTTGATGGAAAGGATTCGGAAGTACATCGATTTGGAAGAATTCAGATCTTCTCAGAGGCAAATTGAACAAGGGTTTAGAAAAGTTACATTTAGGAGGCCGGACAAGCCCGCTGGAAGAGGACAGTTTGACGAAAGGCGACCTCGGGTAGTAGGGGAAAGATTTATAGAAACATATAAGAGAGATTTCACACTATTAAATACGTCCAGAGCCCAGATATTGAAGGAAGTAATGTCTACAGAAATGCGAAATGTTCCACGGCCTCCGCCGATTCGGTCGAGTTATGCACAAGCAGATAAAACGAAATGGTGTGAATTTCATCGGGGGTATGACATTATACGAATGATTGTTTTAATTTGCAGAATGTTATTGAAAGGTTGATCCAAGAAGGGAAACTACAAAAATATGTAAGAAGAGGAGAAGCAGATGGGTGTAAAGAAGATAAGCTCCAACGACTAGACCGAAGTCGCAGCCCGCCTGGGGGAAGGAACAAGGAGGCTAACAGAAATTAAAAAGCTGCAAGTCAACCGTCTCCGGGTAGAGTTCCAGTTGGGCATATTTGCACTATAGCTGGGGGGCGAGCAGGTGGAGGAAAATCTGGGAATGCCCGGAAAAAGCACTTAAAAATGTGTATGGCCATTTCAGAGAAATCGCATTTTAAAGAAGAGCGCAAGAAGACGGGCAAGCAGGTAGTGTTTGAGGATTTAGACGATGAGATACTAGACCCGGAGCATGATGATCCCTTAGTGATTTCGGAATTGTTGGCAAACTATCAAGTTGATAGAATGTTGGTAGATCCAGGAAGTTCAGTGGATATTATATTTTGGGATGCTTTCAGAAGAATGGATTTAGATTATGATCAGTTGGAGCCATGCGGAGCTGATTTATTAGCATTTACAGGAGACAAGATTAAACCTTTGGGATACATTCCATTGAGGTTAACATTGGGGACTGCCCCTACACACAAGACAGCCACTTTGTTGTTTGCGGTAGTAGATCTGGGTTCCGCGTATAATATTATACTGGGCAGACCATTCATGAAGAAACTCAAGATCTTTTTGTCAACTGATCAGTTGGCAATGAAATTTGTAGCTAAGGATGACAAGGTGGCAACGATAAAGGCGGGTAAGGTAATGGCGAGAAGCTGTTATAATATAAGTTTGAGGATTTCACACGAAAGTAAGAAGGACCGAGTAATGATAGGAGATGAGGCAAAAGAGAAGACAGAGGCACAAAAGGAAGTAGATGAAAAGAAAGAAGAGCAAGTAATGGTAGTCGGGATGGATCCCGGGGTAGAAAATAAAGTGGAGAGACTGGAGCCCGTGGGGACCATGGAAGAGGTTCAGTTAGGAGCAGGTAAGGAGCAGGTTACTAAAATGGGTTCCGAGTTGGAACCGGATGTGAGGGCTAGCATGAAAGAATTATTGCAAAGGAATGCTGGTCTTTTCGCATGGAAACCTTTGGATATGCCCGGGATGGACCCTGCTTTATCTTGTCATCGTTTGGCAATAATTCCTGGAGCGAAGCCGGTGGCCCAGAAAAAAAGGAGATTCTGTGCAGAAAGGAGGAAGGCGATTGAAGAAAAAACCAAGGAGTTGTTGGAAGCAGGGTTCATTAGAGAACTAGAGTATGCCACATGGTTAGCCAATCCCGTGTTGATTAAGAAGCCGGATGGGAGATGGAGGATGTGTACGGATTACACGGATTTGAATAAAGTTTGTCCTAAAGACCCATTTCCGTTACCCAGTATCGATCATCTGGTAGATAAGGCATCAAGATATAAAGTGTTGTCATTCATGGATGCATATTCCGGGTACAATCAGATACCATTATGGAAAGAAGACCAGGAGAAGACAACATTTGTAACAGAAAATGCTGTGTATTGTTACAACGTCATGCCGTTTGGGCTCAAGAACGCAGGGGCAACTTATATGAGGATGATGAACAAAGTGTTTAAGGAACAGATGGGAAGAATGTTAGAGGTATACATGGATGACATGATTGTGAAGTCGGAAGATGGTAGGATGCATTTAGCTG